GAGTGTGGCCAGCAGGTTGAGGGAGGTGATCCTCCCCCTCTACTCTGCCCTGGTGAGGCCTCATCTGGAGTACTGCGTCCAGTTCTGGGCTCCCCAGTACAAAAAGACAGGGATCTCTTGGAAAGAGTCCAGCGGAGGGCCACAAAGATGGTGAAGGCCTGGAGCATCTCCCCTATGAGGAAAGGCTGAGTGAACTGGGTCTGTTCAGCCTTGAGAAAAGAAGACTGAGAGGGGACCTGATCCAGGTCTATAAGTATCTAAGGTGTGGGGGGCAGAATGGCGAGGCTGGACTCTTTTCAGTGGTGACTGGAGACAGGACAAGGGGAAATGGACACAAGCTGCAGCATAGGAAGTTCTGCACAAATGTGCGCAAGAACTTCTTTACAGTGAGGTGACGGAGCACTGGAACAGGCTGCCCAGGGGGGTTGTGGAGTCTCCTTCTCTGGAGATGTTCAAGACCTGCCTGGATGCCGACCTGTGCGACCTGCTGTAGGGAACCTGCTTTGGCAGGGGGGTTGGATCGATGATCTCTGGAGGTCCCTTCCAACCCCTATGATTCTGTGAAAGCCAAATGGCTCTGAAAACCAAAAACTCGTATCTTTATCAGAATGTACAGAATTGATGAAGAAAGAGATTGATACGTTATCTAACCAAGCAAGGCTTTGACTAACTGCATCCCAACAAACAGTACCTAGATCTTCCTTGTAGTCTTTATCAGAGCTGGAAAAATGTTACTTCTAATTTTTAAATTATAGATTATTTCTATGAAAAAAAAATAGTTGAAGGGTGCAAATATGCTGAAATTTTGTATAAACTCCTGAAACCTTTATGTTTGTTAATAATATGCATGGTTTTACCCTAAGGAAAAAAAAATGTTCAAAAGAAACTGGAAGGTTTGTATCTAAACCTTCAATTTTTAACATGAGTACTGTCACAAATTTCAGCCACAAATCCAATTTACAAAACACATGCTTTCTCTGTGATGATGTATATGAGCAGGAACATAACAGGACAAATACCAGGCAGTTTGCTCAAAACACAGTGCTCATTTGCTGAGACAACATCCATTCAGAAAGGTTTTAAGCTTCTGGTACAGTAACAAAGTATAATAGCTGAAGATTTAATTATTATGGAAAGAACTTTCATCATTATTCAGTATCTATATGCAAGTTATCTTAAACAATACTTAAATTTCTGGCAATTAATGGTTTATGAGTGTAACAAAACCATTTCAGCAGCAGAAAGATAAAAACAGCTATTGAGAAAAAAATGTTGAGAGTACAAAATAACTTGTATGCATTTTCTCTCAGACTATCATTAGCAAACAAGCATTTTTCTCATGTGGATTTAAGGTTGCAGCTGCAATTCATGATGTCCAAGTTAATTTGAACTTTTTTGCTACAAGTATACAATGAATTTTTCAGATAAGCATTTTCACCAATGAACATTTCAAAAGCACAGCTCCCAAAAATGTGTAAAAAAAAAAAAACCAAAACAAATTTACTGGTCCTAGGTGGTAAATGTTTTCGTGCATTAAGAAACAAATCATTTACACATACACTTAAACTATACACAAGAGCATATTGGAAACACGGACTTTTAAAGTCTAATCCTGTGAACTGGTAATGCCTGGAGTGTAAGGCACATATCTCTTCTCTCTGGCAATAGTGTCAGGACCTGATGGAAAGGCATGGAGCTGTGTCAGGGAAGGGTCAGGCTGTGGGTCAGGAAAAGGCTCTTCACCAAAGGGCGGTCAAGCCCTGGGTGCCAGGTTGACCTCAGCTAGCCTCTGGGTTTCTACCATCATACTCCAGTTACTCAGCAGTATAGGAGGAAGAAATTAGATGCAACAGTTCATAGGTTGAGATAAGAACAGAGGAACTCATCAGTTACTGTGACTAGACTCAACTCAGGGAAGACTATTTTATTACCAATCCATAACAGTGCAGGGCAGTAAGAACTGCAAGTAGGAACATCTTCCTCAGGCTTTCCCTTCAATACCATGCTCAATATCACACCCTCTTCCTTGTTCTCCCTGGTCTGGAGCTTCACGGCAGGATGAGAAACACTCACTGTGATCAGTCATAGTGCTTTATCTGCACTGTTTCTTGTTAGAAAACCATGGTGTAGTAGCCATCACTGAAACTTGGTGGGATGATTCCCACGACTGGAGCTTGACTATCAACAACTACAAGCTGCTCAAAAGGGACAGGTTAAGAAAGTGAGGGGGAGGTGTTGCCTCCTACATCTCCTGGAAAAGTAGCATGGTGTAATCCAGTAATCCAAGAGGCTCCTGGAATGTATAGAGGATAACTTCCTGAGCCAGGCAACAGACATCACACCCAGTGTGGTGGTCACTGGCTCAATGTTTAGATGGAGATCAGTGATGAGTAGCGCTCCTCAAAGGTCAGTACTAGCAAAAATGCTCTTTAGTATCTTCATCAGTGACATCAACAGTAGGATCTAGTACATCCTCAGTGTTAGTAGATAACACCAAGTGGCTGACATGTCTGAGGGACAGCATGCTACCAAGACAGATCTAGAAAGGTTGAAGCAGTTGGGTCCAGGAATACCTCATCAGGTTCAAACAATCCAAGAGCAAGGCTTTGTACCTGAGTCATGGCAACCCCCACTATCAGTATAAGCTGGGAACTAAAAGAATTGAGAGCAGCCCTTCCAAAAAGGAACTAGGGGTACTAGTGGATGGTAAGCTGGACGTGAGAAAGCAATATACCCTCACAGCCCAGAAAGCCAACCATATCCTGGGCTGCATCAAAAGAACCACAGTCAGCTGGGGGAAAAAGGTATCCTGCCCCTCTTCTCTGCTCTGGTGAGACCTCACCTAGAGTACTGTGTCCAAATGGGGAGTCTACAGTACAGGAGAGACACGGATCTGTTAAAGCATGTCCACGTTATGGCCACAAAAATGATTCAAGGGATGGAACATTTCCTCTGTGATGACAGGCTGAGAGGGCAGGCACTCTTCAGCCTGGACAAGAGAAAGCTCCAGGGAGACCGGACAGCAGCCTTTCAGTACGTAAATGGGTGCTATAACAAAGAAGGGGACAGACTCTTTAACAGGCTCATAGGACAAAGGGAGATGGTTCAAGCTAAAACCGGGGAGATTTAGATTGGATATAAAGAAAAAGATTTTCATGATAAAATTAGTGAAGTACTGGCACTGGTTGCCCAGAAAGGTGGTGTCTCTTGAGAGATTCAGGGTCAGACTAGACAGGGCTCTGAGCAACCTGATCTAGCTGTAGATATTCCTGTTCATTGCTGCAGAGTTGGAGTAAATAGTCTGTAAAGGTCTCTATCACTTCAAACGATTCTGTAATTCCCCCTCATACTTGTTCTAGCGTAGGATCCATCTCACAGGCTGTAGCTCTCTAAGCATTCCTCCAACAGCTACTATCACAGGGCTCATCCTTCAGGAGCAGACTGCTCCAGTATGGAGTTCCACAGCAGACACCTGTCCAAGACATCCTGCCCCACCACAGATTCCTAGGGTCTGCTCCTGCAGGGGCTCTCCAGGGGCTCCAGCCTCTTTCAGGCCTCATCAACCTGCTGCACCATGGCTCTTCCACGGTTGCACAGGGAGATCTGCTCCCCATGGTGCCCACCGGCTGCAGAGGGACAACTTGTTTCACCACAAGCATCTCCTGGACTGCAGGGAACTTCTGCTCCACATCAGGAGCATCTCTGCCCTCCTTCTGCACTGACCTTGGTGCCTGCAGAGCTGCTTCTCTCCCATATCTCACTCCTATCTCCTAGCTGCTGCTGTAGAGCAGCATTTCCCTTTCTTAGATCTCTTTTTCCAGATCACAGCCAACATCACTCTTGACTCAGCTATGCCCATTAGTGGGCCCCTTCTGGAGCAGCTGAAGCTGCTTTGCTGTGACCTGGGGCAGTGCTGGGCTCTGCTCATAAAGGCCACCTATATGCCCTTCCCAGATACCAAAACCTGACCACTTACAGCCAGACATAACTGTTTCCACTTTCACTTCCATTTTTCCCATGGAAGGATGTCAGAAACAGGAAAAAATAAAGCCACAAGATTTTGCTGGCTGACTCAAAGCACATCTGACCTCAGAAGGTAACTGTCATCAACACAACCAATCTGAAGTAAAAGCCGTAAATCTAGTATTTCCAGAGCCACATCACTCTAAATTTCAACAGAGCTGAGTACTTGTACTGGACAAGGTTTGAATTTAAGCCTGCTTACTTTTGTCATAAAAGCGACATTTCTCACATATAGTTTCGGCATGACATATTTTGCTTACTAAAAATCAGCCTGAAGTAATTATTTTTTCCTTTGCTCTCAAAAAGGAGAAGTTTCTCAGTACTTCACACCAAGATGCTACTCTTGGTTAAGCATCAGTTGTTTAGTTCTTTTTTATTATTATTATTATTATTTATTATGCATATACATAACAACACATAACCCTAGATTTACATCCGTTTTCATAAAGAACATGTAAACTGTGCTAACTGTTCTGAGAAAAAAAAAAAAAGGAAGAGAAAGAAAACACACAAACATAGTGTAGAAACATAGTTACAATGCATATGCTTTCTGAGTAATCACACATTCGAGGCTGCAAGTTGTTCAGAGACTAAGTATGCAAGGAGAAAACCCAGAAACAAAGACTTCTTGTTATGGGGTTAATCATAAAAGAATAAAAAGTTTTGCAAGAAGCTTCAATGAGAAACAGAGGCAGTTTGGCGGCAGTGAAATATTTTAAGGATCTTTCTCCTAGGAACGCACAAGAAGTGTTTACTGAAAACGAGATGCACAGAACTCAGAAGCTGAACGGTGCCCGTTCGCACATGGGACAAAGACTGCCCACGAGAACCCCACAGGACTAGCAGGCGGGGATGTCGCTATTCCCGCCGGGACAGCACCACGAGGATCCGGCAAGGGCCGCTAACTGGCACGCAGCCGTCGCAGTGCCGAGCCCACTCGAGTCCCGCCTCCTCCTCCCGCCCTCCGCCGCGCTCACCGCACCGTCCGGATCACGAAGTAGACGATGAGAGCGGCGCTGGCCAGCAGCAGTATGGACAGGGCGCGCTGGGTCATGGGCTGGCCCTCCTCGGGCGGCACCGACACCTCCGCCAGCCGCCCGCCGCTACTCCGCGTCGTGCCGCCCGCTGTCTCCGTGGGCTGCGGGGAGACGAAGGGGCCGCCGAGGACAGCCACCGCGGCCTCTCCGCAGCGCGCCGCCAGCACCAGCCCCGCCAGCAGCCAAGGAGGCGACGGCCACATACTGCCCGCTCGCCCCGCCAGCGCACGCCCTTCTCAGCCGCCGCCGGCCGCGGCCTGAGCGCGGCCGGGCCCCACCGCCCGGCCCCGGAACCGGAAGTGCCCGTTGCCAGGTGGCCGCCGCCGCTGCCGCTAGAAGAGTAGCGGCGGGGCGCGCGCCGCTGTCGGCGCGGTCACGTGACTCACAGCGAGCGAGGTGCGGGGCTGGCCGTATGGGCCCTGAATGGGGATGTGTGAGCTCTTAGAGCGTGGGGTCTCCTAAGGGAGAGCCTTGGAAACTTTCCAAGCGTGTTTCTCTTGTGATCAAAACGTTGGATCAGGAAACGAGTGTGACTGGGCTGGTTGCAAACAGAGCCCTTAGAACAATCAGTAGTTTACAAGCCCGGTGGAAATTCATGAAGTGGGGAGAGGAGACCCCGTAACTGTGTTGCAGCTCTGTACAGTCTGAATGCAGGGTGCGTATGATGCTCGTGTCAGTCGCATCTCTTCAGCGCAATTGCTTCAGTCAGTCCTATTTGTTAGGTTAATTCTTCAGTCCTTGCTACCTCTTACCAGATGTTTGACATAGCGGAGAAAGAAATGGAGAAAATATGGACAAAGAAAAATAGCTTTATCAGTTACATTTCTGCAGTTGAAATATCGCTAACAAGGAGGTAAACAGATTTTAAATAAAGGCAGACTTGTTTTAATATCCAAGAAAACTTCCTACTAGTGATAGTTAAGTGGGAAAATAAGTTCATGTTCTGACACATATACAGTGAGAATTTGGCATTGAAAAGTGTAACTACTTAGAATAGCACGTGTGCCTTTTACCATTACTTTTATGCCTTCCTTTTTTTATGTAAATGTTACTGGTTATTCCAGTGCTTTGGAGGAACAGTTTTTACTAAAGGTGCTGAAAGGAGCATGTATTTGAACTTTCATGATAACTTTTTCCATTGTTTGTTATTTGAATAGAACTTTCCTGATTGAAGCCTTTAGGAAGTCTCTCCAAACCCAATATATGTGGTAATTCCTCATCCATCTGAGTCACCTTGAGATGCGTTTCCACCTAATAACACATTCCAGCTCATTGGGAGCATTAGTCATTGGTTCAATCAACAGTTTTGAGGATATGTCAGTGCTGCATGGGTGCTGTATGCTGTGCAGTGCTGGGATACTTTCTCAGGGGAATATGGTGATATATTTCATGGCAAACTGCATATCATACTCAATTTATGAGAAGAAACTGGGGGCTATCTTGTTCAATATCTCTGTAATACCGTCTTTTTTCAATATATGTGTTTTCAAAGTTATTACTTGAAAATAGGGGAGCCCAGTGTTATATGGCCAGGGATTTTTTTGTCATTGTTATTTAATTAGAAGATAATTAGAAGATAAAATATTTGCAATTTTAAAAAATTATTATTTTTTTATTATTATTTATTTTATTTTATTTTAAATCATTGAATTCCATTGGTTTGTTCAGCATTCATTTGTGATATAAAGTCTCCAAGTTTGTAAACAATTTGCTTTCAGAAGAATGTAAGATCATTCTTTGTTGAAATATATAATGTATTAAATGTGTCACGACTTTCAACCTGCATAGCAAAATTATTTTGACAGCCTTTTTTAAGTTTCCTAAGCATAATTACTGCTTAATTTATTTTTTGCAACCAAAGAAAGAAAAAATTAAGTACAAATGGTGACACTCCATGATCATCCTTACAACAGCTTTTGAAAGAAATGTCAGTCTCTGTGTAAGTGCTAGAACTTTTCTCACCTATAAGAGAAAGGAAAAACTTTCATATCTCCAAAAGGCGACAGAACTTGAGTACCACTGAAAGACTCTGAGCCTGCTAAATCATCCATTAAAATTAATGGAGCTTACTTGACTTCCACCTCTGAGTAAAGCAAAATTGGGTAATTTTTTGAATTCTTTGAAATAGGCCTTGCACATAAATTGAAAGAGCAGCGAAATTACTTTGCAAGAGTATGTGAGTGTCATACATGCCTGGGAAGGAGCCTTTTCATCACAGAATGAAATGATAACTCGGAGAAAGGCACTTAGGAGTTCTGTATATTCTTTTTTTTTTTTTTGCAGTTCTGCTAAAACTGCTGTGTGTGTTTGTCCCCCAATACTTTTGGAGACAAAAGGCACAGTACAGAACACATCTATTTTCGTTTCCTTACGCTCTTTCAGTCTGTAGATTTCATCCTTAATGAAGTCCTTTAGGAACAACTTTCAGGTGACACTGAGAAATTAAGAATCCAAAAATGACACTGCACACTATGTGCTTCTCTGCTCTGATAGGATGCTACTGAGATGCAAACTGTCTTCTGTCCCTCTGAAAACACCTGAATAACACTGCTGTATTCTGCAAGTCTCCAAATGCCATTTACTCTACCTAAGGGTGTTGTTGCCTGAAAATATTTCTGCTTGCCTGCCCTTGTGTAGATCAATAAGCTTTTTGAATAAGCTACAATAACAACAGAAAGAGAGTATGTCCTTTTAAGGACTCCTCCTGATAATATGGAAATAAAGTAACTATGAAATATGAGGTGTTTTTGCATGCTGGCATTCTTCCTTGCAAAAGTCTTAGTAATTCCAGTATGTTGTTTCTGTATACTTCTGAGAAGTATACCATATAGGTTTTCAGTGCATTCCTGAAAGATGATTTTCATGAACCAAAAAACCCACAACCAACTCAGAACAAAGCCAAAATGTCTATCCTGTTGTAAACATCTCTGAAAAAGGCTTGTTTTAGAAACAACAAAAGTACAATAGATAAAACAGTTCTAGGAATCCATGTTTCCCTCTGTAAAACTGTGGAATTATAGCAGAGTTTTCTGCTTAGGACTGCCTGGACTGTTAACAAAGTGTGAATTAAATCACAGAAGCCTGCATTCTCAGTGTTATGCACATGTAATTTGCATTTAAACTCATAAGATTGGATGCAACTTTGAAGATGTGCAGAGCAGAGTCCATTGTCAGATTTTACTGTAATCCTGAAGCAGATGGTGACATTAAAAGAGTAGTCTGTTTAAAACATAACTGCTTTTCAACATAAAAATGAGTTAAAAATGTTTTCGAGTTCAGCCTACATCTATGAATCAGGGTGCCAAAAAGCATAGCTTTGTAATTGCACTTTAAGAAATGTTTTTATCTTTCCTTTTGCTTTGTCTTCAAATACACACTGAATGGAAAGAGAAGTGAAGAGCCGGCCATATTGGATTAGTAATAGAATATTATTTAAATAAAATGAAAAACACTTTTTGCTTATAACAGTTGTCATTTGTTATTGTTAAATACTTGGAAATGTTACTTGCAAAAAGTATCAGTAGCAGAAATTGAATATTTAACCAGTAATTATTTTTTAGTAATACAAGTTTAGGAAAGGAAAGTATGAAGTATGTCATGCCCAAGCAAGATACAGACAGAAATTAAAGCCTTAAAGAGGGCAGACAATTTCATAATAGGGCCTGTCTAGACATTACACCAAGATTCATATGTACTTTAAAACGGGGTTTTTATGGAGGTAAACCAGTGAGAATATCTTTCACATTTGTGTTGTGTTCTTTCACTTGATGGTATTAGAACAGAAAAAAAGCTGTAATTGCCATAACTAATACCTAAGTAAAATTCAGTCTTAAATTATGTGATTAAGTGCTGTAATACTATTCTAATTTGTTATAGGAAGTAATTTGTTAAAATGAGCTTTCTTTTATATGTCAGTCCTTTTTATCATTAACAGCTTTTCCAATATGAAAGATTCAAGAGTGGCTTTTGGGGATTTTTCTTACCCTCTTTTATGTACAGGTTCCTTGCAGACAAATTTAAAGTGAGTCTGATGACTGATGACATTACCAAATTAGGTTTTTAGAGTCATAACACCATCTTTTCCACCTAAGTAGATTTTCAGAGTACTTGCAAAAAGGGGAAAAAAAAAGAGAAAATTCAAAATGTAGTCTCTCATGTGCAATCTTATTCCAAAAAGTGCCTCAGAGAAAGGTTATATAATTATAATGTCTTTGTAATCTTTTAATGTCACTGGAAAATACTTGTTCACGTATTTTAATCCAATACTTAATTATGGCAAATGCAACTTGCAACTTTCTAACAGTTATCTGCCACATTTAACTGAAAATTGTGAAGTCTATTTCTCTGTAAGACATCATACTATATATAAGAGGAGATTTAGGAGTAAAGGGAGAGAGATGTGAGTTTTCTCCGCAGCTAGAAGTAATGCAAAAAAACATATTCACTGTTTGTAATGCCTGTAGTGTTTTTAAAACTATACACTGTTACATTTTACGCTCTTATTTTGTCAGATGAATGTCTGCCGCTATGAGAAACTTGTGACTATATGTATAATGTCTGTATCATTATTCACAATAGGTGTTTCATAATGTATCTAATTTAAAAATGTAATTAAAAGCTTGTCTTTCACAATGAAAACTTTGATTAAGAAAGTAGGGGAAGAATTGTATGCTAAAAAGAATTTAGTTTTTGCTGCAGAAAGCAAGAGCCTACTAGAAGCCAATGTAACTGACCATCAAAGCTTGTTAGTGTACAGACTTCAGCAGTCTTTTTGGGTTAGAATGAGAGACAAATCCTCACTGCCGCGACCTCACAGACCTGCAGAAAAGACAAGGAGGGCAGGAAAGCAAAGGGGATGAGGGGCTGCTCCTCACCGCGCTGCTGCAGCTGCAGGGGTCACGCTAGGAAAGGAAGAGAGGCCACGGTCACTCGCTGACCCCCTCAGCGGAGGAACGAGTGCCCGGGTCCCTCAGGAAGGAAACCCTCCCAGTGGGCTGCCCAGGCTGAGGTGTCCCCTTACCGGTTCCCTTTGCTGCTGCGGCCTCCTGGGTGCCCCGGCTTTGTCGTAGCAGAGGATTGAAAACAGATGATCTTTAAGGTCCCTTCCATTCTAAGCCTTTTCATGATTCTACAATTGTATGACCCTTGTGCATCCTTTCCAACTAGGATATTCTGTGGTTCTGCGTTTCTATCACAGGCTGGT